AAAAATGAGCCACCATTATTCTCAGTTTTTGGAATATATTCTGAGCCTTCTCTTTTGATGAACCAAAATAGTTATAAATTTGCATAAAGGGAACAAAAATAAAGTTTTTGTTAAAAATAAATATAAACTATAAGTGGAGCTATATGGTTGACAAATCAATTTTCTTTTTATTTTCAACTGTAGTTTCTTATTATAAAAATATGGAATATTTTAAAATACGGGGGCCATGCAAAGTACGAAAGGATGGTGTTTACCAAAAGAAAGTATATGTGTCTAAATACGCACATTTATTAATTACCACTGGCCTAAGCATTGTTCCTAAATTTATTTTTTTACCTGTCAAGTAAAATATTGTCAATAAAAATTTTGCAAAATAATATAGAATTATTGCTAAATGTGAGGTTTTTTTTATCCCAAGTCCCAAAATGTCACATGAAAAATCTATTTCCTCCATAGAACCATATATGTGGAGACATATAGTAAAGGCAGAGCGGCCTTTCCAACACGCAGGGACAACGGGCAGTCTGCATTTACACTTTCTTTAGTGGTTCTGATGTTGGCAACCAAATGTCACCTTTGGAAGGAAAATTCTCTTTGACTTTAACACAGAGCGCTGTTCAGTAGCTCTTTGATTGGATTATGCATAAAATTTATATGTATGCCACTCACTGGAGATTAAGTAATTAAGATGCTCTTAATATTGCAGGGGAAACATTACAATTCTCATTATTTTAATGGACTGGTGGGCTCCAGGGATTTGATAATAGGATGCAACATCTTGTATTCCAAATTAGCAAAATTCCCAGTTTTGACTCTTTGACAACCTAACTTTGCAAGCTTTTGAGGACCTAGGTAGAAAAAGTAGTCTCAAATCAATCCTTAGAGGACCGACCATTCTTACAAATAATAATAATAATAATAATAATAATAATAGTAATAATCCGTGTAATGGTGGCCTTATTATTAGTGCCATTCAAGCACTAACGACTCCACAGCCAGGGAGGGAGTGGTCTTTTCATCTCTGCTTTGAGAGGGGTCCCTGAGGCCCCGAGGCACTCTCAGGGTGATGGCACAGCTGTCTCTGCTTTATGTGACATTGTCTTTTAGGGGCCTCACTATGGATGACTAATGGGTTCCTACAATTCACATAATTGCACTGCAGTGTTTGCACTGGAAATACAAAAAGACAAATGTTTTCTTTTGTTAAACTTATATTCCATCTCATTCCAAAAAGAACCTTAACTAGCATATTGAAAACAAAGCATGAAAAAAAAAAAAAGAAAAGAAAACAAAGCATGACCTGCTTTACAGTCTTGAGGTACAATTTGTTGCACCTCTCTGTAAATCTTTCATTGATTGTTTAAGCCTGTCATATTAACAATAAGTCTCATATTCTGCCCCCACGGATTCATCTCTCCTTTTGAGTTGTCACAAACTGAAGTGAAACAAACATGGGGTCTTATATACTCTAATCCTGAAGTCTATTCAAAATTCTGTGCTTGGTGGAGAGAGAGCTCTAGTTAATCCAATGGTGTTGCTGCTCCTCGAATCTACCAGTGTTGCCTTTGGGTCCTCCACAGTCCAATGATGAGGATAGTCTATTCTAGAAGAGACCTTGATGTCTCATCTCCCTGAGTAGTAAGTTGTGGCTCTTGAAGGGAAGCAATATTACCATGTCAACACCACATTTGATCAAGTGTGTAATAAAGCACCTATTCTGAGCTAGGCACTGTTCAGCACACCAGGAAGATAGTAGAGAATAAAAAAAAGAGGCTTGTAGGCAAGCAGGTAGCATATATTCTATTGGGGGTCCCAGTCAACAAGTAACTGACAAGTAATCTATTTTATGTACCACTGTCTAAACTATAATAACCATCTACCGAAAGGTGATTCTACTTGCAAAGATTTAAAATTGTAAAAGAGAGAGAAAAGAGAAAAGAAAAAGGAAAAAAAGAAGGTAACCTGGGTAACCCCAAAGGGAGACTCTGAGATGAGGATTTGGGTACAAGTAGTTTATCTGGGAGCTGGTCCCAGGAAGCACACACAGGGGAGAAACTATGTGAGATTGGGAAGAGAGAAAGCCAATCAGGGTGTAGTAATGAGCAGGTGACCACTGTGGGCAATTGGAACTCAGTCCCACCATGACTTCGGGAGATTGTTTAGAATATATCTCAGCGTTGTCCTACCCAAGTGGTCAAGAGGCTGGGACGTATATCTACCAACTCCAATTGTCATTGGCTGAGGTGTCAACCCAGCCAACGTGTCAACTCCCCATTCTTTAGTCCAGTCCCACACTGGGGCAGCACACAGTGGCCAAGCACTCCAGGGCGACCCTTCAGGTGGAGAGTGGCAGATCCCTACAGCAGGAAGCCATCAGTGTGCCTGGGAGGATGAGTGCCACAGGGACACCAGAGGAGCACCAGCAGTGTCCTGTTACAATGAGCACCTCCAGATTGTTGAACAGGAATTTTAGATGATAATAAATATTATGAAGAAAGGAAATTGGAGGAAAGGTGTGGAGGTGGGGAGAGGAATGGAATTTTAGAGAGTTCAGTGGGAGGTGGGAGAGGTGGGCATTTGAAAAACTGACATTTGAGCAGCAACCTGAATATTGAGGATTGAAGCATCAGTGACCTGAGGGAAGGGTCTCCAGTGGAGGCACCAGCTGGTTTAAGGGCCTAGAGATGGGCAGAAGATTTGTTAGGTTCAGGGAATTCAAGGAGCCATTGTGGATAAAGCACAGTCAGCAACAGGGTAAATGGTAGGGAATGCCTTTGGTCAGGTAGACAAGGGTTCAATCATGCAGATCCTTGTAGCCATGACAAGAAATTTAGATTTTATTTTGAATATGATAAAAAGGTATTGGAGGGTTTTGAGCAGTATGTACCATGTGGTTTTGTTTTAAACGATCCATGACCTCTGTATGAGAATAAAAGTAGAAGTAAGTGGTGGTTTAGGAGGCTGTTGTAACAATCCAGGTGAGAGACTGTTTTGGCTTAGAGCAGAGAAATAAATATCTCATTATAAGAAATGTTCTTAAGGGCGCCTGGGTGGCTCAGTTGGTTAAGCGACTGCCTTCGGCTCAGGTCATGATCCTGGAGTCCCGGGATCGAATCCCGCATCGGGCTCCCTGCTCGGCAGGGAGTCTGCTTCTCCCTCTCCCGCTCCCCCCTCTTGTGCTCTTTCTCTCTCTCACTCTCTCTCTCAAATAAATTAAAAAAAAAAGAAATGTTCTTAAAATACAGGGGAGTACTTACTGTTCATGCAAAAGTGGTATCCAACCATTCATAATTAAAGGATGCAATATATAGCAAACAGGATCCAAAAATAGCTTGGATCACTGACTAAGAACAAGATTTAAGAGTTAATAACTATGTACACATTTAAAGAGCAGTAAAAAGGATAGTGACTTCAATATGCAAAAAGTTGAAAGAGGTGGGGCTTAGAGCAGTAATAAAAATGTAATGCAACCAACCTGAAACCTGGTGAGCCAGTACTCTCCTTGGCCGGTCTTTAGACCATAGAATAACATCAGCCCAATTGCAAAATTTGCAAAAAATAATGTACTTAGGTTTTTGTGCATAGGGATTTTTACCCATAATATACCCAGACTTCTCCAAATGCTCTTTTACTAATACATCCCTCACATGAGATAGCTCATTTCCCTCCCGATTCTAAACTTCTATAGACTCTGCCCACATAAGCCAAGCCCAAGATGCCCTTCCTCCTCACTTATTAATTATCCCAGTAACTTCTTAATTGCTGGGTTTGCCTTTGATCCTCTCCCCCACAGCACACTGTTCCCTAAAATACTCCTTTTATCCTATCAGTCCCCTAAATGAAATCTTTCTGAGGCTCTTACTCCTTGCCTAAGGATAACAATCTCCTTAGTTGCTAGATAAGGCTTATGTCCTACTCCCGCCACCCTCACCCCCGCCTCACGACCCTCATCTTCTCATGCTCTGAATATATGTTGTTCCTACCCCTCTGCTGACTCTTTGCTCTTTCTCCCCCTCCTCGAATTTCCCATTGTACAAACACACACACACACACACACCTCTGCCTGCAAAAAAAAATTAAAAATTACACCTTAAATCTTTTTTTTTTAAGGTTTTATTTGTTCATTTGAGAGAGAGCCTGAAAGAGTCGGGGGGAGGGGCAAAAGGAGAGGGAGACGGATAAGCAGACTCCCCGCTGAGCAAGGAGCCCTATGACGTGGGGCTCAATCCCAGGACCCTGGGATCACTGCCTGAGCTGAAGGCAGACACTTAACCGACTGAGCCACCGAGATGCCCCACCTTAAATCTTTTTTTTAAAGCCTAACCTATACTTGGTGCATCCCAACATAGGAGATATAGCAGATCATAGAGTGCCACAATTACAAGTTAGCTAGGACTGTATTCATTTATTGAATGCCTACTTTATACCGACTTATGTACTTGGTGCACGAAGATGGATATAGAATGTTATTGCTAGCCTCAAGGAGCTGAGTCCAGGGGGAGAGATGAGTGTGTAAATAAACATACCCTCATAGAGTGTGGTGAGTGCAAGGATTGAGCTATGAACAGTGTATGGGATTGGGTGTGTTCAGGCAGAACAAATAGACAGGGCCAAGGCAGAGGAGTGCAGCTTGCAGGCACAGAGAGCCAAGGTTGAGATCAACCAAAAGCAGAGGTCTCAGTACCAAGGAGAGCTCCTCATGTGCTGAGCCTTGAGGCATTCTTCACATTTTTGGAAGCTGCTCAAAACTTTCTATGAGGCTCTATCCTTAGGAACAGGAGTTTCTGGCTTAAAGAAACCCTGAATAGACATATCCTGGATCCCTTTGTGTTACAAAAGTAATACTTCAGCTTATGAACTTGTAGGGTTTGAGGATTGAGGATTAGTTGAGCAATTTCTATCCTTAGAAGATCCTCTGGTCTCAAATCCTCAGGAGTTGGTTTTCATTCTAGAATTTGAGATGGAAGCCAGGACTTTATTGGGATTTTTTTTTTTCTTAGGCTTTGGCGGGTTGGAGCCTGACCTGACCAGTCTGGACAGAATTGATCTCCCCAGCCTCTTCTACCATGCACCCGGTAGCTATGATGTTATTTATGAACGCCTTACTGCCTCGAACTATGTTGCAAATGTCTAGAGTAGCACACTCCAATATAGAAATATAATATGAGCCACATAGTTAATTTTAAATTTTCTAGCAGCCACATTCAAAAGAGTAAAAGGAAATGGGTAAAATTAATGTAATATGTTTTACTTAACTCAGTAAATCTAAAATGTTATTTCAACATGTATTGATTAAACCATTAGTGAGATATCTCATGTTCTGTTCTTCCTACAAAATGTTCAGAATCCAGCATATGTGTCCTCAGACGGCACATTTCGATGTGAACTAGTCACCTTTCAAGTGCTCAGTTGCCATCCGTGGCTAGTGGCTGCTGGATTGGGCAGCCCAGGTCTGGATGTTAGCGAGCCGGTCTGTACTCCCTCTCCAGCCTTTCTGGCCCTTAAGTTTTCCAAACCTCCTGAAAACTGGCCAGAAGGACTGAAAGAGGGCCACCAAACCGAGTACATTCTGTACTCTGCTTACAAATGAATAGGTGGTAAGAAGAAAGAATGTTTAAGTCTCAAAATAAATCTGTGTATTATTTTTTACACTTTATGTTTTCAATATTCAAATAAATATATCTCACCAAAAGACACATTTTTTAAAAGATTCATATACAATTGAGGAAACAGGTTTTGTAGTAAGGGGTTGAGCAATTAGTTTTTAACAAAAAATTTCAATTACAGACGGTAGTGTTGACTTTCTCTTATGAAAGACTGAACAATGACCACTTTTCGTTAGATATACTATCGTTTTGTAAACTGTGTATTTTTTTAATCGACCTAATGGAATTAACCAGCTAGTTGACCATGTAGTGTGTAGAAAAATGGATTAATGAAGGATGACAAAATACTTAGTCTGTACAGTTATGTTTTATAATGAGGAAAACTAATGCTAGGGAAGCTAAAATACTACCTTTCCCTGGAAAACATTTTAAAGTATGAAAAAGTCTCCTGTGTCTGGGGGGAGGGAGTGCTGGAGATCAGAAGACTTAAATTTTAGTTTTAGTTCTGCCACTACTTAAATTTAGATTCTTAAACAAGTAAATCAATCTGTCTAGTCCTCACCCATAAAATAAAAGGATTGGGTCAGATATCTCTACATTCCTTCCACTCCTCCGAAGTCACATTGACTCTGCCTCTCAAATAAATTCCACAGCTGTTGTCTTCTCTCCATCTCCCTGCATAATTTCTTACCTGAACGACCACAGCTAGTCTTCTTGCAATTTCTTGAACCTATCCTGTCCTCCACGCTGCTGCCAAAGGAACCTTTCTAATAAAAACCTCCTCATCTCATGCTTAATGTCCAGCAGTGGCTCCTGCAGGCCATAGCAGTTGGCCTGGCCTGCTTTTATCTGCTCCCCAGTTTCAACTCCTGGGCTCCCCCAACACACCCCCTGTTTTAGCTTTGCTGGATGGGCGTGTCTGCCAATGTATGACTCAGCTTTGGGGGCTGCTATAACAAAATGCCACAGACTGGCTTAAACAAGAGAAATTTATTTCTCACAGTTCCAGAGGCTGAGAAGTCCAAATCAAGGTGCTTGCTGATTTGGTTCCTAGTGAGAGTTTCTTCCTGGTTGGCAGACTGCTGCTTTCTTGCTGCATCCTCCCTCACAGGGCTGGCCAGGAGAGAGATGATTTCTCTGTGTCTCTTATAAGAGCACTGATCCCGGGGCGCCTGGGTGGCTCAGTCGTTAAGCGTCTGCCTTCGGCTCAGGTCATGATCCCAGGTTCCTGGGATCAAGCCCCGCATCAGGCTCCCTGCTTGGCGGGAAGCCTGCTTCTCCCTCTCCCACAACCCCCGGCTTGTGTTCCTGCTCTCACTATCTCTCTCTCTTTGTGAAATAAATAAATAAAATCTTAAAAAAAAAAAAAAAGAGCACTGATCCCGTTCACAAAGTCTCCACCCTCATGACCTAATCACCTCCTTAAGGCCCCACCTCCAAATACCATCACATTGAGGATTCCGGCTTCAACATATCAAATTGAAGGGTGGGGGGGGGAATGCAGTATTCCGTCCATAGCAGGGAGCCCATGGATCGGCATTCAAGGAGTTTTGGGGAATAATTAATCAGTTGCTATTATAAAAACTCAAACCTGTAATTCACGATTTTATAATGATATGCATGTCATTTTTGAACAGCTTCAATAAGGCAGGTTTTCCTTATTTGAGGACAAAAGTCTTTCCATGGAATTCTGGGAATTCTGTACTAGATTTAATCTTTATAAATACCTAGTCAAACACCTCCCTGAATAATTGAGGAAATCACAATCCAGAAAGTAGATAGAGTAGCTTGCCGGCATCACTAAGGTTCATAGCTGAATCAGGAATCGGACTTTTTCGTATTTTCATTGCAGTTTGCTTTATGTCCATATTTTATAACAACAGTAGAATGGATCAGTTTTTCCATTTCAATTCACCTCTTTATTCCATCTTTTTCTTCTTTGTAACACATAAAATCTATCAGGGGCCCACATTCCCCATCCCTAGTTGCTGCTGATTTGTTTCATTAAAACTTCCATAGACTGGGACACCTGGGTGGCTCAGTCTGTTGGGCGTCTGCCTTCGGCTCAGGTCATGATCTCAGAGTCCTGGATCGAGCCCTGCATCGGGCTCCCTGATCAGCGGGGAGTCGCTTTTCTCTCTGCCTCTCCCCCTGCTTGTTCTCTCTCTCTCTCTTTCTGTCTCAAATAAATAAAATCTTTAAATAAATAAATAAAAGCATCAGGCCCTTTGCCTTAAAAACAAAAACAAAAAACCAAAAACAAAAAAGCTTCCACAGATTGAGGCTGATCCTGTTCTCTGGGTAGAGTCATTATCAAGCCTTCCTTCTTGGCTTCTCCCTCTTCTTTATCCTTTCTTTTGTATAGTTAAAGACAGCAAAACTGATACCCTGTTTTCTAAAATGTATTTTTGTTTAGGAATAAGGTTAAGACCTTATTGCTCATACCCAGCTTCTGATTGTCTGTGTCTCCTTTGGTTTTTCTCAACTATAAAATGGGCAAAGTAAGCTAAATGGTTGCTATAAAATTTTTATCTATACCCAACAACCCCTAAGATGGTACATTTCACATAATAGTCATTCCATAATTATTTAGGAAATTGTATTTATGAGACAAATGTCAGTAGAACTAAAGAGTATGAGTAGTTTCTTGAATTTTACTATAAATTGGTCTGAACCTCTGCTGTTTTAGGAGAGCAGTATGTTCTGTGACTTTCTATAGCAGCAGAAAAAAAGAAAAAAGTTATATAAACATCAGAGGTGCAGAACAATTTTCCACTATAATACAAAATGTTCCTTTTTTATTATTTATTTTTATTGTTAATAACTTACCAGAAAACCCCTCTTAAGAATTTTATGTCTTGGGACGCCTGGGTGGCTCAGTTGGTTAAGTGTCTGCCTTCGGCTCAGGTCATGATCCCAGGGTCCTGGGATCGAGTCCTGCATCAGGCTCCCTGCTCCGCGGGGAGCCTGCTTCTCCCTCTGCCTCTGTCTCTCTCTCTGTCTCTCATAAATAAATAAAAAAAATAAAATCTTTAAAAAAAAAAAGAATTTTATGTCTTATCTAGGTAAACTAAAATTGTCTCCTAATTTAGAAAGTAATCTATTTAACTGTTTGAAATTATTTATTTATAATTATTCAAGAGATATGAAAGTTATTGCTTTTTGAGGCAAAAACGATTCTACATTCAGTACTTTACTTGAATTTTCAGTGTGTCTGGGAAATTTTTAAGTTGTATCAGGATATGGGGGAGCTTAAGTTTAGTGGGCCTACAGAGAATTGGGTTGGGTTTCTTATATAAAATCCTGGAGAACATTTTTAAGCTTCTAGAGAACTTTAGAAGGATCTGGAAAACTGTGTGATTGGCTAGCACGATATTGAGTATGGGGAGGACAAATCAGGAAAATCTTGTAATGTTTAGTATATTTGCAGTCAACACCCAGGATTTTTTAAAAAATCAGCATATAATATTATTTGAAAGGCAAATAGTTTTAGCTGTTAGTTAATCCCTGCAGATCATTTAAAATCAGCTAATCTCTCTAGTTTCCACCTTCTGAAGCCTTCTATGCTTTTTGTTATTGTATTTTTGTAAACATTGCATCCTTTCTTCTGAATACATACAAAAGGAAACAGACATAGCAAATGACAGACGCTTCCCCACAAAAAGCTTCAAATTGGATTAGACAGCTGGGAAGGGGCACTTGGAGGGAGAAGAAGCTTAAGATCCGGGCATGGACTCCTGCTTCAGTTATGTAAATGAGCTGGGTGGTATTAGACAACCTTTTAAATATGAGTAATTAACTATGGAAAATGGAGTCAGCAAAACCTTGAACTAGAGAGGGATCATTTCAATGAAGCTGGGGTCATGGGCTGCAAGCATCGTCTGGACCACAACAAAATGGGTCTAAGGCTTTTGCATTTGTGTGCGAGGTCATTTCAAATCAAATAGATGGAAGAAAGGCATTTCAGAATTAGTGTTTTGATTTCAAGATAGGTCATTGAAAATATGCTTTTGTTCTGTTTACTAATCGCCATCCACGGCAACCCCTTCTGCTGCCTATGGAAAATGGGAAGAGGAAGGGGAGCTAAGCAAGGGAGGGTGGACCATGAAGAGAGATGTTGAGTCATGGATCATCCTATGTGTGAGCTGTGGTCTTTCCCAGGAACAGAATTTGAGGGATGGGAGGACACTGTGCAGTCGTTTTATAGCAATACTAAGATTTCTGTGCTATAGCTGAAGGGAAAAATAAATCTGAAAGCCACTAACAGACATTTTTCACATCACCACTCTGGACTTAGCTCTAAGAGCATGAAACCTTGCCCATATCCATGGAGACTTTGGTGTGAGATACGCAGTACTTTCCACCTCTGAAGGCTGGAGGAGAAATCAGAATAGTTAAATCTGAGATCTCCTGAGCATTCTCAAAATTACTTTCCCTTATTTGGTGGCCGGCCAGCCAGCCCCCTGTCT